GGGGGGGGAGTTCCGTTCACAGTATGAGATGGAGCAGTGGGTTTTAATGGAACAGAGTGTGAACGTTCATGGACATGGTTTCGGGTCCCACATGGCAACCACCCTTTAAGGAACTGCCACTGTGTGGTTTTGGTGTATTACCAAAGAAGAATATTTACGATTATTTGAAAAGGCTTTTAAAAACTCTCCTCCCTTTCTGTCTGTGTGAAGCCAGATTTTCTTCTTACTTCACCCAAAATAACACACCACAGGAAAAAAAAAAATCAATGCTAAAGTAGCTATGAAAATCCAGCTATTACACTTGTAAAAATATAATTTCACTCTTCTTACTTACATTTCTTTTGGTTTATTTTCATAAAAGTATGCTTTTTATAGAAACCTGTAAGGAACACAGGGTGGGGCAAAAGTAGGTTCACAGTTGTGAGTACTCGAAACACAGTTTATTCTTGTGTTATTTATTATTGTTTTACCTTCCATACAAACAACTAAACCCACCTTTGCCCCACCCTGTATATTACTGTCATTTCTGCATGAATTAATAAATATATATTTAAAAACTTCCCAGTTATAGCCTCCAACGTGGTAAACATCAATAGATGTAACTCACGTAAACAGAAGTTCTTAGAGTCCACGATACTTTTGAAAAATATAAAGGGGTTTTGAGACCCCAAAGTTTAAGAACTTCTGGGGGAACAAACAGGAGCATGGGATCTGGGGTCAGACTACAGTGTTTTCTAATCCTGAAGGGCCGCTACCAAAGGTGAGACGTGGGGAGTGCTGCTTACGTCTGAAAGGGCCTCATCACTAAGGGGGCTCGTGGTTCTGCTGCCCTGTGTCAGTGACAGTGACTGTGTTCGAGGACTGAGACTGATGGAGCAAGTGCAGGGTGAGCCCCGCCTGTCTGAGCAGAGAGAACTCGGAAGGGACAGAGAGGGCCCGGTGGGGAGCTGCAGACTACAGGGCGGTCACTTCCCATGGGGTGGCCGCCCTGCTCTCTCATGCCTGTGACAGGCTGACACACCCTGCTTTATGTTTTCTCCTCCTCAGTGAACTAAACTTAATTTTGTTTTGTAAGCTGGCGGCTCCGCCTGAGACAACTAATGATGCCGGAGGGAGCTAGGAAGCCAGGGCTGTGCACACTGAACCTGAACTCGGCCAGTGTCCCTGGACCGGAGGCTTCCCAGCCACAGCTTCCTGGGCCTGCCAGCTTTCCGTCCTTTGGCACCTACTCTCCTGCCCTCTGCCCCCTCGTCTCCTCTCCAGGAGACGGTGTGGGGACGGAGGTGAGCGCTGCTCTCCTTGGTGAGCTTCGCAGACCATGTCTGGCCCAGGGAAGCAGCATCGTTTCCAAAGCAGGAAATTGGGCCTCCTCGCAAAGCTCCAAAGTTTACTTTATAATTACAGCCAATTATCTGTGTTATTTCAATCTCTGTTTCGTGGGCCGTAGGGAAAAGCATCCGCGGGCCTGTTTTCATAGCATTTTCTTCTCTCTGACCTGTGGCACTTGGCACTCAATTAGCTGAGAGAGGAGGCACACACCTGGGTCACTTTCTGCAGCGCCCCCCC